CCAACACTGGGTGGCATGGCAGACAAGCATCATAGAGAAGAAACAGTTCAGGGTGGGCAAAAGGTAGCAAAGCAAGTGAGGGACCTTAGCAACTTCCTTCTGCCCTTTAATACTCTAACTAGGCTACCAGAATTTGGGCAGTGCCAAGCCAACCAGTGGACTGATTTAGTAAGCACAAACCCTTAATCCACCTCTTTTTTTTCACTCATAGAATATTTTATTTAAAACTTACTGTTCAAACCTTCAAATACAACACATGTAGCAAAGAACAACAGTTAACACAACATCTGACACAATTCTTTGAACTGCCCTTCTCTATATTATGTGATATGGTACAATTTCTTACATTCATGGGATTCTTAAAGGCAGCAATATAAATTTTCTACTTTGAAAGAGTTCTGTTATCATTCAGAAATTGCTTAAAATAACTTTTAGTATTCTACTGATGTTCATATTAGTGATGTAATTCAACATATTATTAAAAACTTTCAATTCCCAAGTCAAAGTTAAACTGATCTTTGACCTAAACAAGCATTTTCCTAAATTAGCAGACTTGCTTTCCTCAAAAATATTTCCATTCTGAAATAACTTTTTGTAAAATACAATAGTTTCATACTTTTTTCCTAACAGAACTTATGCCATACTTTTTTCCCCTCAAAATATATTTGATATATTCTGTGTGAAATATAAGTTCTGTATAGGTATGTGCTTTATTTTGCAAAAGTTTATAAAATACAGTTCCTAAAAACAACCTCCACATTAGGCAATAGAGGAAGAAAAAAACAAAGCCTAATTTTTCACATAAAAAACTAAGTATGTTGTTAAAGCTCCAGTAATGCATTCCTTGAAAAACCTTAGAATGCACTTTGGTCACTGTTAAACACAAGAGAAGAGAGGCCAACAGAACGAGACACTTCCTGCTGTTTTGGGCAGGAAGAACACACACTGTCCAACGAGACTGACTTGAGGCTGGTTGAAAAGGAAGGTGAGAGCTAAGTGACAGGACGCGCTCTTCTCCATGCAGTCCTGCTCTGAAGGTTGCTTTGGGAATTAGGCTGCACCAACCAAATACATTATTTACAATTAACTACTTTAAATTCCAAAAAACATGAGCATATTCAATATGATATACTTTTACCCAAAACAATTCTAGATTGTTTCAAATAAATTCTTTTAGAAACTAGATGCTCAGTTTAAAAAAATCATTTTATGTTTCTTGTAACTCCTGAAACACTCTTGATTGTACAAATGTGACAACTTAAATCAAGGCCCAATGTAAGACACTATCGTATTTATACAATATACCTAACATGCCCACATGATAAGCTCTCACTGGACACTTGGCAAACTCCTTAATCCACCTTTTTAAAAACCCCACCAGGGTCAGGGATTTAGCTCAGTGGTTCTGCCGCCTGCCCCGAAAGCACAAGGTCCTGAGTTCAATCCCTGGTACCATAAATAAATAAATAAATGCAAGCCCCACCTATGACAACATGAGGCTTTGGTGGAACATCTAGACACAAACCATAACAACTTATAAAGCCCCAGCTAGTGTCTGACAAATGTTTAATTAGTCATCACTAGTTATCACCCCCACAAGCTTTTTTTTTTAAATATACATATTTTTTGTTTTTGTTTTTTTGGTACTGGGGATTGAACTTGGGTCCTTGCACTTGCAAGGCAGGCCACCGAACCGCTGAGCTAAATCCCCAGCCATACTTTTTTTTTTAAGTAGGAAAATTTACTCGGGGATAGGAATAGCTCCTGACTCAGGAGAGGTCCTGAATGGGTTGTCTATCTTTTTCCCTGTCACTACTCTACACAAAACTCTCATACATTGAAGAAAACACACTATCCTTACCACTTTGTTTGTGTGTGGTACTTGGCTTGAACCCAAGAGTTTTATACTGAGCTACATTCCCAGTCTTTGTTTTCTTGTTTTAAATTTTGAACTAGTCTTGCTAAACTGCTTAGCTTCCCAGGCTGGACTCAAATTTGCAATCCTGCCCCAGCCTCCCAAAGTACTGAGATACATATTTCTTTTACATCTGTAACTGCGGCAAAGCATACCTAGTGCTGTAGGGTGCCAACGTCAAAGTTCCTTCTAAAAGACATTACCAAGAGTCATTTAATCTCACTTGTAGTAGAAAAAGCGAGTTGATCTGATGGTACAACTAGGAGGCTTGAGATTCCTAAGTATGTCATGGTATGGACATTGATATTTACGTTGTACCATGCTACTGAAATGTACATTCCCATCTTGAGACATTATTTTGGTGCTGGGGACAAAACCTAGAAGGCCTTGTGCATGCTGAGCACACAACTACCTCCTGGGATATCCGAAGGTAACCAAAGCGTTTGGAGGCAATATTCTGGGTCAATGAGTTCATTGTATATACAAAAGCCATTAAGCATTTGCATAGCATTTTTAGTTTATAAAGCACTTCTCCATATCTGTATTAGCCAGCTTTTAAGAATGCCGTTAATGGGCTGGAGATTTAACTCAGTGGCATCGCGCCTGCCTACCAAGTGCAAGGTCCTGAGTTTGATCCCTGGTACCAAAAAAGGAAAAAAAAAAAAAAATGTAATGATCTTTGCCTTCTTTCCCACAAAGAAAACAGGCTGCTCTGTGTGACCAACAGAACATGGCAGAAGTGAAACTAGGTCATGAAAGGCTTGTCATCAAACACTTGGATCATTTATGCTGGGAGAAGCCAGTCACGTCACAAATTAACTCTGGCAGCCCTGTGCTCAGAGGAGCTGAGGCCCCCTGCCAACAGGCAGCATCAACTTGCCAGCCATGGGAATGTACCACCTTGGAGTGGGTTAGCCTGCCCTCCTTCACCTTGCTCTCAAAGGTCTATAGTCCCAGGAAAGAGCTGATGGTGGCCTCACGAGAGTCACAGCTGCCCAAGGAAGCGGCTTGGAACTCCTGGTTCCTGGTGACTATGAGCTGTTGTGACATTCCACTGTGGGTGTGATTATTGATTTTAGCCACTTAATTTTGGGGCAGTTTGCTACAAAGTAATAGATAATAATTCATCCAGGCCATCTTTCTGTACAGTACTGGAAAGCTGACACCTGGACAAATTAAGCCATTTGCTGATGGTTACATTAAGTCCTTAACCCATACCTACAAATAAAGGCTATGGGACTTTATGCCTTGCCAGAAATTCTTTCCATAAAGAACCCATTATAGCAAATCCCACTGACACGCCTTTTTGCCAAACCTGTACTCACATATCCTATACAAATTATTTTTTTTCCCTTTCACCTTTCATGGCAATAAAGCTTGCCTTCACATAAAGCCCACAGCTGTGCTATTCATGTATTCACCCACTGGCCCACAGTGTTACTCAAACCACTCGTTACCTGCACCACTGTTTTTGAAAGCAAAATAAATGAGAAGGGTAAGGAGGAAAAGTAAAACAGTGCTACTAGTATTTTCTCAAATAAAATTTTTTGGGGTGCAGTCCCTGGGCTAGAACCCAGGGTTGCTACATTCTCAGTCCTTTCTATTTTTTGAGACAAGGGCTCAGGTGGGACATGAACTTGCAATCTTTCTGGCTCAGCCTCCGTCAGTGCTGGGATTACAGGTATGCACCATTGCACCTAGCTCCAAAATTTTTCTGTTTGTTTTTTTGAGACAGGGTTTCACTATGTAGTTGAGACTGCCCTGGAACTCACTACGTAGCCCAGGCTGGTCTCAAACACAGCAATCCTCCTGCCTCAGCCTCCCAAGTGCTGGAATTACAAGCGTGCACCATGCCTGGCTCCAAATAATTTTTTGAGACAGGGTCTATGCAGTTCAGGCTGACTTTGAACTAACTATATAGCCAGGCTGGCCTCAAACTTGTGGTGATCGTCCTGACTCAGCCTCCCGCCTCAGCCTCCTAAGTGCTGCCACTACTCCTGACTCCAAATATTCTTTTAAATAACATATGCTAAATCATATATTTTTCATGAACCACCAGAACAGCTTATTGCTAGCATCAAACCCAATCCCCCATCTCCTATTTGTGTTGGGCAACATTTACCCTAAGCTACAGCACAATTTAAAAGAGAATAATAGAACTCAGGAATAATAGAAAAAGTAAAGTTGAACCCACAGGCAACTGAGTGAATATGTAAATGTACTCAACAATTCCACTGTTTTGTTCATGAGCTACCCTTCCTATCAGGGATGACTTTAAAATATATTCTAGAAATCATCACATATGTGGAAGACAATTTGTTTAGCTTTGTGAGGCTTTACTTTCACAATGTACATATCCTTGGCACAGAAGACCCTATTAAAGTTTTACAGCTTGACTTCATAAGCCAAATATGGAGGTTGAGTTTATGTAGTTTTCAGGTACTAAGTTTGAGAAAGTTAATGGGTCATCAGGATTTACACACATGTTCACATGCAAAATAATAAAAGAAACCAAAGAACAAGACATCAACATCCCCCCAAAACTTCAATGTCTAGTGAAATATTTATTCCTACCTATATTCATTTTGATCTCTTATTTTCCATTTTATACTGACTTTTCTTTCCTGACTATAGATTACAAATACATCTTTTTAAATTGTCTTCCAGGTCTAAATCCCAGGCACTGGTTATATACTTATCATTTACAATAGGATGTGCTTATTGAGCCAGTTTTACTCCAGTAAGCTTGAATGGAAAAACACTACAGAATTAAGGATAATGTAGTTATTTTACTGATCCTCATCTAATTTCTCTACTGCAGTAATTTTATCTAGTAAGTTTTTTTTAAAATTTCTAAACAGAATCAGAAAGAAAAATGAGGTCATAAGAAATCTATAGTTTACTATAAATTGTGTGCCTTTCCAAGTTTATTACTACTTGAAAATCAGGAGTACATAAATAGGCTAACATTTTCAAATGTATAGTTTAATAAGAATAAAGTATATAAATAATCAGGTAAGCTTGTGGAGAAGCTGACCGAGATACATAAATTAGAAGATACAAGTATCCACCTAAATTTTCTATATTTCTTTTTTTCTTTTTGCAGAAGATTTATTAAGGTTGTTTAATATACAACTTTTCATATGTCATTTTGGAAGTCCTTTATTGTAAAGATAATTCTTTTGTCTGATGACAAACAGCAGCCGCGATCATTATTCTGGACCTCCACGCTGAAAAGGAAAACATAAAGCAATAAGATTGGATGTTAAATTGTCACAGGATGCTGGGCATGGTGGCACATGCCTGTAATCCCAGCACTCGGGAGGCTGAGGCAGGAGGATCGCTGTGAGTTCGAGACCAGCCTGGGCTACATAGTGAGTTCCAGGGCAGTCTGAACTACATAGTGAGACCCTGTCTCAAAAAAAAAAAAAAAAAAGTTACAGGACATGTTTTCATAGCCACTATACAGATTTAAATAACTTTAAGCAGATGATCTTTAAGTTTGCATTTTATTTTAGGTACCGGGGATTAAACTTGGATACTTGTGCTTGCGAGGCAGGCAGCGGAACCACTGAGCTAAATCCCTCGCCCCGATCTTTAGCTTTTTAAAAAAAACAATGCCTGGGCTGGGGATTTAGTTCAGCGGTTCGGTGGCCTGCCTTGCAAGCACAAGGACCCAAGTTCAATCCCTGGTACCAAAAAAAAAAACAAAAAACAATGCCAGGGCCAGTGGCACTGTGCCTGCCTTACAAGCACAAGGTCCTGAATTCAATCCCCAGTATCACAAAAAGACCCAAAAAACCCCCCAAAACCAAAAACCAAAACAAACAAACAAAAAACAACAATGCCAAGGTTTTCATAGTCTGAGAGCACTTATATCAGTTGTTAGAATTTCAGGTCTTCTGGGCTGGGGATTAAGCTCAGTGGTTCTACCACCTGCTTCACAAGCGCAAGGGCCTCAGTTCGATTCCCCATACCCGCTGCAAAAAAAAAAGATTTTCAGATCTTAAAGTACCTCAATGTTGGTCTATATCAGTTGTCCTCTAATTTCTTGGTCTCAACACCTCTTTTCACTATGAAGAATTGTTGAAGACCCCAAAGAGTTTCTGGGTTTTTTTTTTTTTTTTGGTGGTGCTGGAGATCAAACCCAGGGTCTCAGTCATCTGCTCAACCACTGCACCACATCCCCTTGTGGCAGTTTTTCTTTTTTGAGAGTTTTACTCTGTATTCCAGGCTCAGGCCTTACCCTCACATGGGCTGAAATTACAGCTGTGTGCCATCATGGCAAGTGTCATGTGCTTTCATCCAGTGATGTATTGTGCACACTTACTGAGGGTTGCAGCCAAAGTCTATTACTCCATCCTGGCCTGCCTCTCTGCCTTGGGTCTGAACACACTTGACCTCAAGAGTGTAAGTCACAATGCTATGGGGTTTTACATGGTTTTGTGATAAACAGCAAACACATACTTGGATAAACTCCATTTCCTCTTGAGATATAAGCTTCCTTCTGTACTTCTGAGGTAGTGTTTTTAGTATTTCTGCAGTGTCTGGTGGACCCGGATGCATCAGTAACTCTGGTGATTTACCTCCCTTAGAATGCTGTGAAATCACAGAAGAGTGAGATGGGATCCCTGCTGATCTCCAACCTTCTGATACTAAAATTTAAAAAAAGAAAAAAAAATTACAGAAATTACTCAGGTTCCTTAGAATATTGCATTATCTACTGTTGAATAATCAAGTCATTCTTCTTGAAATCATTCTTGAAATCTTCTTGAAATTATTCTTCAAATAATTCTTGAAGTAGTATAAGAAGTAGATGTAGAATACTCAGTTGGCTATAATTTCATATGTTCGTTAATTAATTAATTATTTGGGGGGGGGTACCAGGGATCAAACTCAAGATCTTGAGCTTGCGAGGCCGGTGCAGGGCCACTGAGTCAAATCTCCAGACCCGTAATGTTCATTTTAAAAGACATAAGGTGTGTTTTTTTTTTTTTTTTTTTTTTTTTTTTTTATGAGCTTTGCAATGCTGGGGATTGAACTCAGCAGTTTGTGCATGCTAAGCACTAAGTTACACCCCTAGCCCTGTGCGTGTGTGTGAGTGTGTGATGGTATCCCACTATATTGCTCAGGCTGGCCTCAAACTTCTGGGCTCACGGGATCCTCCTGTTTCAGCATCCAAAGTAGCTGGAATGACCAGTGTAAACTACCAAGGTTAGTGAGAAGTAGTTTTGTTGCTGTTGTTGTTTTGTTGAGACTTGTATACAGGCTTCCCATGAGCTATGTAGCTCAGGCTGGCCTTGGACTCATCTCGATACTCCTGCCTCAGCCTCCTAAGTGCTGGGATTACAGGTGTACACTACCATACCGAGCTAAGAAGTAGTTTTAAGTGAATTACTAAAATGAAAACAAGATTGCAAAACAGCTTTGTGCACCAGCATAGGCCAGTAATCCTAACTACTTTGAGAGGCTGAAGCAGGAGGATCCCAAGCTTGAGACCAGTCTGGGAAAATCAGCAAGACTCTGACTCAAAATTTTAAAAAGATGTACTGAGGATGTAGCTCAGCAGTAATGCACCTGCCTGGCATGCACAAGATCACAGTACTACACATTACTGTGCACAATAGTTCAATGCACAGTACTACAAACAAAAAGTCTGCAAAATAATGAAACTTCTAGTCAACAGGGTTCACTCTGGATGTCCCACACTTCATTAAGTTTTTGCCACATGAGCCCTTAGAGGCCAACACATGTTACAGTTTACAGGTAGATCTTACAATGGAGACTAGGAAAGTCAGTAAATTCATTTTCTCAGCATCTTTACATTTATTTTTCTTTTTAAAGTAGTTAAGTAAAACAAAAAGCAAAGAACCCTTTCAGGATTTCTCTCATTACAGTTTCAATAACTGCTAAGGACTAAGGCAATCCATGAAATAGTTACAGACAGAATCAATAGGTAAAGGAGTGAATAATAAAAGAAGTTGGTTAGAAGAGAAATACAGGAATAGTTACTTCCTCGCAACCTGCAAATATATGATTAGAAGAATCTTTTCAAAGATAGAAAAGAATAAAAATCCTGCATATAGTATAAGCTATAAACCAGTATCACTAAAAATTCATAGACATCCACTGTTGAGTCACTACCTTGTTTTGATTGGGTGGGCAAGGTCTCCCTCTAGTGCAGGCTGTCCTCAAACCTCTGCCCACCTTTTAAGATAAGGTTAATAGGGATGGAGCTCAGTGGCATTGTACCTGCCTGGCAAGCATAAGGTCCTAAGTACATTTCCCAGTACCAACTCCTCCCAAAAAATAGGAGTAGTAAAAAAATCAATTTCTACTTCATGCTACCTGGGATAACATTTTGAGCTATGCTACAACAGTCTATCTGATTTCCAAATAAGAAATACTGCCTATAATTGAAAAGTCATTTCTAAATATCCATATACACATTTAAAAAAATACAGATAAAGGACAACTTACCAGTGGGTTTAGGATTGTCTCTTCTGTCAGGGAACCTTATTAATGGTGTATGTGGCTTAACTACCTGAAGGAAAAATAAAATACATTTAAAAAAATCCTCATTAACTGTAAAAGCAATGATCTCTTAATCATAAATAGTATAATTTGTTGAAATATATTACTACTGACAGCAACTTTTGTTTTGTCCCTCACCCAGGAAAGCTCATCTGTAAATTATTAATTATGTGCTGTTCCTAACTTTGTACTTTATTTATTTATTGGTACCAGGGGTCGAACTCTGGTCCCTGGTCCTTACGCTTGTGAGGCAAGTGGCAGAACCACTGAGCTAAATCCCCAGCCCTAATTTTTTAAACATTGTAAGACTTTTACTAGCCCTCAAAACAACCCAACAAAGAGGCGATATGGATTTCATGTTGTATAACTTATAGATTGGTGAGATAAGAACTGAAGTCTCCTGATTTGTATTGAATGTGGTTTCCCTATTATGAGACTTACCTACTGGATTAGAAGAGGATAAGCAGCAAACAATCATACTGAAAAGTAGGTAATTAAAATTTTTTCTACCTTTAAAAAATAACATTTTGTGTAAAAAAAAAAAAAATTGGAAAAAAATGTAGAAAAGCACAAAGAAGCAAACACTACAACTCCAAAACCTACGTTAAATCAATTGAAATATTTGTTAGCTTTCTTTTCCGCTCCAGATAGGGTCTCACCATGTAGTCCAGGCTGGCCTCAAACTTATGGTAATCCTCCTGTAAAGGCACAGCAGCGACGCTCAACAGCTAGGCCACACATGGAAAGGTTCAACAGATTTTATTAGGGAAGGCAGTTTAGGGAGAGAGGAGAGAGGGGAGAGAAGAGCAAAGAAATGAAGGTCCTTTTATTATTTTGGGGCTAGGCTATTGCATATTTATGAGGAGTGGGCTACTTTTAACCTGTCACAGGCCAGGTTGTCTCTTATGGGTTCAGTCCTGCAGAAACCGGTTTAACTTCTCCAGACTGCTGTGGCCTTGGAGAAAGGGAAACTAAAGATAAGAGCATGAGGTCATTTTAAGAGGCAAGAACAACCAGGAGAATGCAGCCTGTGATGGCAGCATCAGGTCCCTAACACCTCCTGCCTCAGCCTCCTGTGTTTGGGGATTGCAGGCATGGGTTACCATGCCCAGCTTAATAGCTTTTGTCTTTTTCCTTTATCCAGAAATACATAGTTTTGGAATGTTTTTCTAACACATTTTCACACCTAAAATCCCAAACGCTGCCACAGAGGACTTTAAATGAACCTCAGTGTGAAATATTCTGAATATACAACACTTTAATCTAAGGAACAGGACACTATTTAACTTTCTTTTTGGTGCTGGGGATTGAACTCTGGACCTTGTGCTTGCGAGGCAAGCAAGCAACGGAACCACTGAGCTAAATCTCTAGCCCAGGACACTATTTATTTTCAATTAAGGTAATCTATAAATTACTGCGCAACTAGCAAGGTTGTGGTGTGTTTATCTGCAATACAGCTGTACATGTATGTTACATATTATACACTTTGTGCAGGTATAGAACAGGGTCTAGCATGGACAATTATAATTAATTCTGCTGCCTTGAGCCAATTCTGAATCTCTCTGCCCCTCTCCCCGCCTCTCTCCTCTCCCTCCCCTTCCCTATCTGCATGCTGGTCTTGTTAAAAGAACCTTCTTTCTCTCTAGTAACCATTCTCTCTTTGCATAGCTTAGCTTCTTGAAAGACTCTTCTGATTGTCTTTCCGCTTTTAAAAGCTTGAAAAATGTTCCAGTTTTCAGAATAAAGTTCAGATGCTTGTGTGGCACCTGTATGACCTGGCCTCTCTTCAGTCTCCAGATATTCTGAAGCACTTGCATTTCCTGATTCATCCAACCTCTGCCAGATTTCCCTCTAACCTCTAGCAAACAACCCTTTACAAAGCTCCTCTCCAAGGACCTTCCCCTCTGTAAACTCCTGGGCCATTCCCCCAGCACTGCTCCCCTCTAGGGAATGGAGCCCAGGTCTGGCTCTCTCTGGGCATTAAGGATAGTTTTCCCCTAATAAGTAGAACTAGTAGAACAAGGTGAATATCATGAAACTAGAAAATTACTTTCCTTTCCGTGCTCCCTCCCATAATATTCCCTTCATAATAGCTTTATTTTTGACAGTCAAGTGTTTTTGCAAGTGATAAAATGGAATAAAGGAGAGCTAGGGATGTGCAGTTGTATGCTGTGATTCACTTACATAGTTTCAGGGTTTTTGTTTTGTTTTGTTTTTGATACTACACTTGATAGCCCAGGCTGGCCTTGAACTCATGGCGACCTTTCTGTCTCAGACTCTCAAGTGCTGGAGTTAAGGCTTGCACCACCTGGCTTAAAGTTGCAGTTTTTATAAAATTTGAATAAGAATCATTTTGGAAACAAAGCTTTTATATATAAGGAAGGGAAGCAGGACCAAAGGCGGGGGAGGCAGCAAGATATACTATGTACAGGTACAAATTCCGTAAGATGAATGCTATTATGTATATCTAAAATATACCAATAAATGTTTTGCTTAAAAAAAAAGAAACATTTTAAGTCAGTGTGTGGCATGTGCCTGTAATCCCAGCAGTCAGGAGGAGGAGGCAAGGGGACTGCCTCAAATTAGAGACCAGCCTGGGCTACATAGTGAGTTCAGGGCCAGACTGGAACACATAGCAAGACTTTGTCCCAAAAACTACAAAAAAATTTTACTTCTGTTTATAAATATTTGACGCTAATTTTGGTATGTCTTTGCACAGCACAGAATCTTCTTAGGCTACTACTCAGCTTTCCTCCTTTTCCTGTTTGCTCACCTAGGTGCTTCACTGCCCTAGTTAGCAATGAGATCCCAAGCTATGTTTTGTGACGAAGTCATCTTTACCTACAGGAAACCTTAAACCTTCTTCTTGATTTTTTTTTTTTTTTGAGACAGAGCCTCACATGTAGCCCAGGCTGGCCTTCAACTTGAGATTCTCCTGCCTCAGCCTCCCGCATGCTGGGGCTACAGGTGCACATCATCATTCCTGGCTGTTTTTTTTTTTGTCACTTTGATACAGTTGTTTTTTTGTTTTTTTGACAGTGAACAAATCTCTCAAGAATCTTTGCAGAGGACAGATAAATGAGGTAATAATTATAGGAGTCAAGCTCCTGGTAAGAAAGACAATTAAGCACTTCTGCAATATTCCCATAACAAGGTAAATGTGCAAGAAACAAGCCAAAAAATGGAGACCCTATGTAAGTTGGGAATAACTATATAGAGTTCAAAGTATAATCATTTAATATGAGAAAAGTATAATCATTTAATATGAGAAAATAATCATTTCAACATAAATATATACATAACCCTATACAGCCTACACACACACACAAACACATGCACACGCGGCCTTATAAATTAAATTTTCACTCATGTTTGGATTCTCCTTTTTACAAAGAAGAAAAATACATATGAAAGTACTAATTGTAGTGTAGCTAGGTGTGGTGGTACACACTTGTAGTCCCAGCACTTGGGAGGCTGAGGCAGGAGGATTAAGGATTATCATAAGATCTAGGCCAGCCTAGGGTATACAGCAACTTCAAAGCCAGCCTGAAGTACATAGTGAGACCTTGTCTCAAAAACAAAACAAAACAAAAAAACCCCCACATAACCAAAACAATAAACCCTGATATCTCTTTATACACCCTGAATAGTAACAGTCATTTTTATTTCATCATCCCTTTCTACTTTAAACAATTCCATTGATTTTATTTCACCTGATATGTATCACTGACAGACAAGGATTTTTGTTAAACCACTACTTTTACCACACCTAACAAATTAACAAATCCTATTCATTTATGATTTTCCTGTGTCAAATGAATTTTTTTAAACTCTTAAATACAAAGATAAACAAATAACTATGTATTAGAGAGATAACATAGCTAAGGGGGGAAAAGGAGAGAACCCAAATAACCTCTGTACACAGTGCTTGCAGTCTATGTCCTTCATCTAAGGTAAAAAGTCACACAAAGAAATATGAACTTTTACTCAGAAGGCTGGCTATTGGCAGCAGGGTATGTGTAGCTACTCTGAAAGCATTCTGAATGTATTGTAGGACTGAAGAGATGAGTGCATGCAATATGGATACTTTGGGGAGTCAGAGACTTTCCTGTGAAAGAAGGAAAATACAAATGTAGGATAGGGAAGGAGAGAAAGAATGCTTATGTGCTAAGATTGGAAAAAGAGGGTCAGGTGAATTCATGATAAACACCAAGTCCCCACTAATGAGTAGTTGGATATTTTCCAGATGTGTGTGTGTGTCTGTGTGTGCGTGTGCCTGTTAAGAGCTACAAATAATGACATAGAGTGAATACCCTTGTACCTTATTTACCAGGGTATTTATAGAATAGATTCCTGGAAAAGAAATCGCTAGGTCAAAGGGTAAAAACAATTTTGCTAAATACTGCCTGACTCCCTCTTCATAGAGGTTATATGTACTATTTTATATTCTAGTCTCAATGAATGAATGCCTGCTTCCTATATCCTTGCCAACACTGTTTTCTGAATTTTTTTTTTAAATTTGATTGATTGAAAATGTTATATTCATGAAGTGTTGATTTCATTTCTGTTGTTAAGAGGCTGTTTATCTATTCAAATAGCTAATTGTCTTTTTTTCCTTTTTGCAGCTCTTGGGATTGAACGAAAGGCCTTGCACTGAGTTACGTCCCCAGCCTTTATTTTTAAAAAAAAATTTTTTTTTTTTTTGAGAAAAGGTTTTGCCAAGTTCCCCAGGCTGGCCTTAAACTTGTGATCCTCCTGCTTCAGCCTCCCAAAGTGGTGGGATTACTGGTGTGTGCCACAGCCCATTTCCCTGCTTTTTAAAATATCTGTGAATTTTGTGTTCATAGCACTTGTCCGTTTTTGAAGCTTTTTTTTTTTTTTTCTTTTTGGTACCGGGGATTGAATTCGGGTCCTTGTGCTTACAAGGCAGGCCACGGAACTGCTGAGCTAAATCCCCGGCTCTTTTTTTTTTCTTTAGAGAAAAAGGTTTTGCTTCTTTTTAATTCAGTCAAAATTACCAATTTCTTCCTGTTGCTTCTGGATTTTTAACTTTTTTTTTCTTTGGTACTGGGTATTGAACTTGGGTCCTTGTGCTTGCAAGGCAGGCGGCAGAACCACTGAGCTAAATCTCTGGCCCTGCTTCTCGATCCGAGTCACAATTGGGAATGTTTTTCCCACTCCCAGGTTACAAAGAAACTCATGTTTCATCTGGTACTCATGTGATTTTATTTTAAAAAACTTTTCATTTGAAATAATTGTACTAGCATTCACATCACTGAAACATAACACCCAACTTAATAGAGAGGTTTATTTTGGCTTGGAAGTTTAGTAGATTCAGTCCATGGTTGGCTGGCTCCAAGGCAGAAATAGCAATGGCAGAAAGGCATGATGAAGGAAGCTCCTCACTCCATGGCAGACAGGAAGCAGTCAAGATAGCAGTGGGGGACAAGAATATACCCTTCCAGGTTGCTTTGGCAGAGACCCACCACTTTGGACCAGGCCCCACCTCTTATCAGCGCATTCAGTAATGAACTCATTGATGGATTAAACTACTGATGAATTTTCAGTGCCCCCATGATCAAATCACTTTCTGAAAGCCCCACCTCTCAACACCTTTGGGAGACATTTTATCTCTGAACATAATATTTATAGATCCACTGAAGCTGTAAAAAAAAAGTATACAAGAGGCCCCATGTAAACTTCATTCAATTTCTACCTATGGTAACAGCTTGCATATGTATAATACAGTATCAGGAAACTGAAATATCATATGGTATCTCCCATCTGAGTAAGGCAAAGCCCAAACAAAGAGCAAAATAAAACATGGACAGAAGGAAACGACAAAATAGATTTTTTGAAAATGGGAAGGGGTCCAGGAGACCAAGGGCAAGGGGAGAAGAGAGGCAAGAGAAATAAGATTTAAGATGTGTTGGGCCAAGGATTTAGCTCAGTGGTTCTGCTGCCTGCCTCACAAGTGCAAGGTCCTGAATTTGATCCCCGGTAACAAAAAAAAGATTTAAGATGTGTCATATACAGTACTGAATATTTACAATGAATGTAAACATTATGTCATAAACATGAGCTAAGAAAAGTAATAATGAGGGCTAGAGATTTAGCTCAGTGGTTCTGCTGCCTGCCTCGCAAGCACAAGGACCTGAGTTCAATCCCCGGTACCAAAAAAAAAAAAAAAAAAAAAATGAAAATGGGGAAAGAGGATTTAAGACAAAGGCAGTGAGTTGGGTGGGAAGGGGAAGGAGATTAAAAAAGAATTAAGCTGTGTTATGTACATACACCTACTCCCTAAAATGAATGTAAACTCCATGTACTGCAAACATGCTAATAAATTTACCTTTATATACAGTGAGAGCAATGGATCTTATTTATTATTTAATCCTTTTCCATATGGGTTTCCAGTCATATCTATCGTTATTGGGGGGGGGTGCCGGGGATTGAATTCTGGCCGTTGGCACTTGTGAGGTAGGCGGTAGAACCACTAAGCCAAATCCCCAGCATATCTACCATCTTTTTACAGGGTCTTACTAAGTCACCAAATTGCCAGGGCTGGGCTCCAGTATGCAGTCCTCCTGCCTCTGCCTCCCAGAGTGCTGTATAACCGACATGCTACTGTGCCCACCTGAAATTTTGAGACAGGGTCTCCATAAGTTTGCCCAGGCTGGTCTTGAACTTGGTAATCCTCTTACCTGAGCCTTCTGAGTAGCTGAGATTACTGGTACCTGACAATACACCTAGATTTCTGAATATTTTTATAGGTGTCTTTCTGTAGATAAGTGTGCTCACTCTTCTTGGATGATAAACCTCTAAGTAGAACTGCTGGGTCACAGAAATACATGTTCAACTATTAAGAGGTGGTTTTCTAAAAAGGCTGTACCATTTTATACTACCTCCAAGCAATGTACAAAGGTCCTTCAGGTCCTTCCTATTTGACAGCACCTTTTAGTAATGTCGGTCTTTTCAATGTTAGTCATTAAGAGCTGGGGCTGTAGCTCAGAGATAAGTGGGAGGCCATGGATTCAATCCCCAGCAACAACAACAACACAATTTTAGTTATTTTGATGAATGTGTAGTACCTCCTGGCACCTCTTCACATATTTCTGTTTATTGGGGTGCCTTTTTGTGCAGTATCAATTCTTTGACCCATTTTAGATTGAGCTATGTATGTATTATTGCTATATATGGTTATATATGATAGACGCCAGACCACTGCCGGATGTTCTCCCTGTCCTTACAGAGTCTTTAACTAGTTCATGCTCAGTAACCACCCATTGAGTAAATGAGGCTGAGTTATTGCAAGGGGAGGGATCTAGGGTTATCATTCAGGTACCAACTTCAGGAACTTCTGGAAGAGATCTTACAAGAGATGCACTGATACAAGCAGGACATGGTGGTGCATGGTTATCATCACAGCACTCTGGTAGGCTAGGGCAGAAGGGTCCCAAGTGTGAGCCCAGCCACAGCAACTTAATGACTCAGTGAGACCCTGACTCAAAATAAGAGAAGGGCTGAGGATGTAGCTTGGTGAGAACGCCCTGGGTTCAATCCTGTAACAGTACCATAAAAAGGGGAAAGGGGAGACATGCTAACAAAGGAAAATGCATTTCTGATATCAACGCTAAAAATTAACTATCAAATATGCTTTCAAGGTTTAAAAAAAATAAACAGTACAGACCCATTAAAAAGTGCTGTGTTCAGCAAGGTCAAGAGGTTCATACCTATAATCCCACTATTCTAGGAAGTTGAGACAGGAGGATCCTAAATTGGGGCCTGATGGAGCAACTTAGCAAGACCCTGTCTCAAAAATTAAAAAGGGCCAGGGATGCGGCCTGGGTTCACATACCAGCGGGACCAGAAAAGGATGGTGTCTATTTTATATATTAACTTTACCTCTCCTATTTGAGCTAGAGACCACAGCTAGAGATCCAAATACAAAAGCTGCCAGTAATTAATAGTTGACAGGTGGATTAACAATAATGTTACTTTAGCCGCCTATCTAAACACAGGGGAAAATGGCTCAGGAAGGCGAGTGTAGTGGTAGTAAACCTGTAATACCGGCTACTCATAAGGTTGAGGCAGGAGGATTACAAACTTTAGGCCTGCGTGGGAAAGGCGAGATCCTCTTTCAAAAAAGGCGGGGAGTGCAGCTCGGTGCTGTGGATTTGCCTAGCATGCGTGAGGCCCTTGGTTCAAAGTCCAGGACCAAAAAAAGGAAAAAAGTCTTGTGAAACCAAAACTAATGCATACATTAGAAATATACACTAGCAATAAACGTACATAGAACATTTTCCTGACCCCCCCCCGGAAGCGAGATGCTTGAAGGGTTTGGGTCCAATGGGTCCTAAGCGAGGACAAGGTACTGAGGGCTCGGAAATGACCCAACCATTCCAAGACCTTGAAGGGACACCTGGTCAGACGCGGCGCGCTTCCTCCCACGCGCCGCTCCCGCCTCCTCCCGATTGGCTGAGGGTGAACGTCGCCGAGAATACGCGGCGGCGATTGGCCCAGCTCCTCAGGGCAGCCTGCACGGGAGATTCAGAAGGCTGAGGCGCTAGCTCAGGAGCCCAGGAGGCCCCGGGGTCAGCAGGGAGCCACCTGTCGAACTGCCGCGCCCCCACCGCCAGAGACGAACCCTCAGCTGCTGACCCTGCCTTACTGCCCAATGCAACGGACTCAAAATCCTGTTTTCACACGCAGCAATGCGCGGCCGCGGCCGCGGTCACCAAGCATCCTGTGCCACCGCCTTTCCTTCTTAAGGCCGTTGCTACATCTACACCGTCCTAACCGCCCAGGGTGCGGAGAAATGACCGAATCCCTTTACCTGGACAACCCTGCTGGCAGACGCCATCTTGCTGCCCATCATGCCCCCGGGAAGGGGCGGCTTCCGGGGAGCAAACGAGCCTCAGCGCTCTCGGGAGTCTGGGGCCGTTGGGGGCGGGGCCTACCGTGACGTCGGGGGCAGGGCAAGAGGCGCATGGGCGGGGCCGTGCTCTTCTGGGGGCCCCGCCCCGCCTGGGACCTGAAGCGGTGTTTTCTATTGTTTTGCACCAGAGGGTTTGTGGTACTGGCTTTATTTGGTTCTGCCTATGACTTTTCTAGTACTAACTAGCTATTCCCAGATAGCCGGTTCCTAATTTCATTATAGCTCAAAATTTAACTTGAAACCAACTAAGTAATACAAACTTTTGGGCTTTCCTAAATGAACAGACTTGTTAAAGCTTAGGGGTTAGCAGCTAGGTCAGAAAGAAGGGAGCCGGGTGTGGTGGCGCATGCCTGTAATCCCGGCACTCTGGAGGCTGAGGCAGGAGGATCGCTGTGAGTTTGAGACCACCCTGGGCTACATAGTGAGTTCTATGTAGTGAGACCCTGTCTCAAAAAAAAAAAAATAAGAAAGAAGGGGCACTTTGGTTTAGCAGGAGCCTCCACATATTCATTCATTTGTTGGCATTGCTTGATTTCCGCCTATTTGGTCAGTGGTTTCCAAGTCTTGGGAGTGTCTTAGAAACAAATTACTGAGCCACAATCTGGGCGAGTCTGACTTTGTATGTATTTCTCTAATTCACTATTCCTGATAATGAACTGTGGGAAGCCAGCCATGGCCCATTGGCTTTTTGAAAGATAACATTTGTTCCTCTTTAAGGACTGCACGTGTTAAACTTGTTTCTGACCCTGCACGAGAGAAACTCGGACAGCCAAAGATCTGTAGGAGTCAGGTACTTCCTGTTAAAGATCTGATGTTAGCTGTAGGAGTCAGGTGTTTCCTGTTGATGTGCCTTTAACAGGCTGATGCTTGTTTGCAATAAACGTCGCCTTGATCAGACTCTTGTCTTGGCGTCCTTCCTTTCTCTCTGCCCCATCTCCACCCCGCTGCTCTTTCAGGTTTGAGGCACTGCTGGACAGTGCTCTGCGTCGCCGGTGTAAGACTTAAGTCTCACTTTTACTCCTGGAGCGTGAACAGCCAAGAGGCTTCCACGATGCTGGGCTCAGAAGCTCAGCGAGGCTCCAGGAGCTAGTCACACAGCGAGAGTCACCCAGGAAGGAACACACCAGGCAAGTTGGCAAATAGACCTTTATTAGTCGGGCCAGACGGCACTCCCCAAGCCAAGTAGCTCAGAGAGGTGGCCAGCTCAGAAACAGAGGCCATTTTATATTGGGCTGAAGGGGGGCTTACACTTAAAACTTACAGGAAGAGGACAAAAGGCAAAGAGTCAGTTGATCTGAGCTAGTGGTCATCACGTACTAATGATCAGCAGAGTGATTATCCATTGTTCCATTTACAACCTAGATCATCATAAAGTTCAGAACATTCAGACTACAGGCATGCAAGGAGTGGCGTGACCTGCGTTGGGTCTCTGTGTTCACTACAGTTTCCACCTAGTTTCCCAGCTACTCCAAAACAGCCACCTAACAATTCACAATTAATCACTAGTTATCCTATAAGGGATGGGGGGAGCGACAGTCTCTAGGTCATTCGCTGGTCAATATGGAGTCGCTCTGGTTCAGCCAGGCTCCCACAGCCGGTTCGCGACAATGAACTGCTGCCTCAGGGATCAGAACTATTCTGATTCAGTATGTCTATAGAGAAAATTGTGAGACCTGACTGAGTTAAAGTGACTCCATGTTGGCGGGCTAATGGCCTCAGAGACCGTTGTGTACCCCTCCCCTTATCAAACAACAGGGAAAACGGCTTAAACTGCAAAAACCTTCTTGCCCTAATCGCAAGCTTGATTAACAAGCCTTCCAAGGAACAGATGGGATGTTAAAGGGGACCATAAAACACTACCCTTGTAAGACAAGTGTAAGATAAGTAAAGGTATCTGAAGCTTCTCCCCATTTGCAGCTGTGAGACAGCCCTGACCTACGTCTGAACTTTTATGTTTAGAAAAGCCCTATAAAACCTATGCACAATCCTGTAACCAGGTTTCACTTCTCTTAGACAATGGAGTCTGCACGTATGAAATAAACTTCTCTCAGTTTTATCTGTGTCCTGGTATTTGGTGTACTTGCTGGCTTGGTACAACAAAAACCATAAACTTACTTGAGTTTTCAAAACTTCTCTAAGCAGCATGTACTCTAAAATCAGTCTGATACCATTATTACACAAGCAAAGCACATAAACGGGAAGTTCACAGAAAAAGAAACAAATCATTCTTAACCTTCCTTATTCTAAGAGAAATTTAAAGGCACAGAAACACTATTTTCATCTGTCAAATTGGCAAATATACAGACCCAGAGAGCACTGGGGAAACCATCTGCTATGGTAACTTGGGCAGCTATAATATATGTAACCCTGGGACAGCAGCTCCGGGTTAGGAGGGTGGAAAAGCAGGGTGCCTTGTCCTTAGAAATACTGGCTGTTTGCCAGGGTGTTACTAAAGAGATAAACTCAAGGAACCACTGGCCATTTTGAGGCAAGCAGACATAAAAGGCATTGGTTACAGCTGGAAATTCAGGGTTTGTAGATTTGTTTCTAGACCCCCAAAATTTGAAAGATGAGAATTTTATCAGTTAATCATTTTTTAGATACTTGTAGATTCACATGCAATTGTAAGAAACAGAAATCAACTGTGTCCTTTTGTAACTTTCACTAAGTGATAACATTTTGCAGAACCACAGCACAATACCACAACCAGGATATTGGCATTGAGACAGTGAAGAGACAGAAAGGTTCTGTCACCAAAAGATTCCTCCTGATGTCTTTTTAAAAACTGATCAATTGAGGTACTGGAGATTCAACTCAGGGCTTTCACATTTAACTACATCCCCGGCACTTTTTTATTTAAAAAAAAATATATTTATTTGCTTATTTTTGTTTTTTTGAGACAGGTTCTCACTATGTAGTTGAGACTGAACTGGAACTCACTATGTAGCCCAGGTTGGTCTTGAACTCACAGTGATCCTCCTGCCTCAGCCTCCTGAGTGCTGGGATCACAGGCTTGAGCCACCACTCCTGGCTTTTCCTTTTTTATTTTTGAGTTTGAGAAAGGGTTCTGCTAAATTGCTAAGATCCCCAGGCTGGGTTTGAACTTGTGATGTGCTGCTTCATCATAGGCCCAACAAGTCAGAGACTGTAGCCTCTAAAACAGTAAGCAATATGAAAAAACCATGGTAACTAGTTATAGTGGTACACTCCTATAATCCCAACCAATTTGGGAGGCTTATGCAAAAGGATCACAAATTTCAGCCCAGGCTGGGGTACTTAGCAAGGTCTTGTGATAGACAGATAATAGTTGAATAGATAGTGCTGGAGATATAGCTCTTTGTTCCCTAGGTTCAATTCCCAGTACCTCCCATTCATAAAAACCACTGAAGAGGAGAGAGATTTACTTGCAAGTAAGTCTCAAAAATCAAATTCTCCCACTTTATTGGTACAAGAATTACTTGGGAGTTGGAGGTTCCTCAAAAAAAAAAAATTAAAAACAGAAATTCCATTTGACCCCGCTATTCTCCTTCTAGAGATCTTCCCAAAGGAGTTAAAAACATCCTATTACAGGGATGTATATATAACCATGTTTATAGCAGCACAATTCATAATAGCTAAATATTGGAAGTGTCCTGTATGTCCATCAACAGATGAATGGATAAAGAAAATGTGGTGTTTACACACAGTGGAGTACTACGCCATAACTTGAGGCATGTGTAGGAAATGGAAGCACCTTGAGACCATAATGTTAAGTGAAATAAATCAGACACATTAGCTTAAACATCATCTGCTTCCTTTATCTGAGGAAGCCAACTCAAAAGAGCAATGGGCCAGGGATTTAGCTCAGTGGTTCCAGCCACTGTCTCACAAATGCAAGGTCCTGAGTGTTAGGGAATTGATCATGTTAAAGTATGCTGTGACGCCACCTCACAGGCTGCATTCTCCAGGTACATCTTGGCTCCTAAAATGACCTCATGCCCTTATCTCTGGTTTCCCTCCCCCACAAGGCCACAGTGGTCCAGGAAGTTGAAACCTGTGTCTGCAGGACTGGGCCCATAAAAGCAATCTGGCCTGTGATAGGTTAAAAGTAACTCACTCCTCATAAATAAGCAATAGCCCACCCCAAACTGATAAAAGGACCTTCCTTTCTTTGTTCTTCTCTCTCCTTCTGCT